ACTCACATTCCTTGGCCTGTGGCCCCTTCTTCCATCTTCAGAGCCAGCAGTGGAAGGGGAAGTCCTCTTTGCTTGCTGCCTATCCCTGTGAGTACAGTCAACAGAGGTTCTCTACTTTCTGGAAGTCCTGGGACAGACTGTTCTCCGCTGGATAACCAAGGATACACTACCCATTGTGGAGCCCTGTACCAAGGTCACAGGATAAGAATCTCTGAAACTGACCAAGCTGCATAGCAACTGTTGCCATGAGCCTCCAGATCTAGATCTGCCAGTTCCCTGACCCCATATTATGTAAAATACCCACCCTACTATCCACCTTATAGCATCCTAACCAATCACCTAATGCCACCATTCCAGGAGAAATTTCCTCTGTCTTGAGGCTATAAATATTAGCTGCTAGCCTGTGAAAAGGTTCAGCTCTCCCTTGGGCTGGCCCTCTGTGTCTCCCATTCTAATGAACTTTCTTCTCCTCTCATTCTGCCTCATGTCTGGAAATTCTTTTCCAACCCACGCACGGACCACAACACCCATCTCAGGTCCATAACCTTAATCACACCTGTGAAGTCCCAGAAGGGGTGCTCAAGTCAGTGCTGGGTGGGGCTGAGATCAGGGTGTCATCACTATCGTCTAGGCATCCACCTGTGCTTTCATCATCTGAGTTTGAATCCAGGCTCCTCCGCTTATGTTCAAGTTCTATGAATTTCGGCACAAGTTAAATCTTAATCTCCCTAAACCTTATTTTTTTCATGTATAAAATGGGCTTAGCAATAGCACTCCCCCTTCTGCCACAAAAGGCATACATGAAACCTAAATGAGATACTATGTGTAAAATCCCCATACAGTGGGGCCACAGAGCTTAACAAGGCATTTTTTAATTACCTCATTGGTTTTCCCTCAAGAAGAAATGGCACCAGTCTCTATTTTTAATCTTTCCTCACGGCTCAGATGGTAAAGAGTCTGCCCTAAATGTGGGTCAGGAAGCTCCCCTGGAGGAGGAAATGGCAACCCACTCCAATATCCTTGCCTGGGAAATCCCATGGACGAGGAGGCTGGTGGGCTACAGTCCGTGGGGTTGCAAAGAGTCAGACACACACACACACACACACACACACACACACACACACCCCTTCTATTTACACACAGGGTTCAGAGAAGTTAGCCCCGTGTCCAAGGTCACACAGTCCGGAAGTGGCTTTTCCTCCTTTCTCCTCTGTCCTGGAGTGGAGAGGTTGATGGAGAAATAAGTCAATCAAAATCCTGCCAGCAGACCCACTAGGGCAGCTGCTGACTTCCTCCTGCTGGGCCTGAATTTAAAACCTCCTCTTAAAAGTAAAGAGGTGAGGCCTGGGCTCCCATAAGGAGTGCAGGGGAACTACGGGGGACGTAAAGGGCTTTGCCACACATTCTCCGGCTTATCTCAGCCATCGCAGCAGGCGGGGCTGGGCCTCTCTGGCTTCCAGAACTATCAGATGCCCTACAGACTGGCTTCTCCCAGCTCTTGTCCCTTGGGACACGGAGGCACCGTGTCCCACACTGTGTGTAGTGGTACCGCTGGGTGAGCACTATATTGTGGGGCTGCTGGGGCTAGCAGGCGGCCGGGACCTGGGTTTTGGTTTCCCATGAAATGGTGGGATTCCCCGCCCCCATCAGGTAACCTGGAGCCAGCCAATCAATATGCGCCCAGTAAGAAACAAAGGGAGAGCTAAAAAGCCCGCGGATGCCTAAGTTTAAACAAAAGCCCGTGAAAGTTTGTACCAATAAAATTGCTTTGCAAACATGTAACCAATCCGCTTAAGCCAGCTACTAACCTCTTATGCATACCTTATAAATTTGGGTAACCGCCTCTGCTCAGGGCTTTTCTGACCTTGCACCACTGTGTTGGTTGCAGCAGAAAGCCCTGACTCGAGTCAGTAATAAAACTTCCCTTTTTGTAAATTGCATTGTCTTGGAACTTCTCTCTTTCTGCTCTGGGATTCGGACATCGGGCAGAACATATATTAGGAGTTAGCTGGGCCAAACTAGAAACTTGCCTCCAGCATGTCCTAGCTGTGTGATTCTGAGCCAGTTTCCTAACTTCTCTGAACCCCAATTTCCTCAACTGTACCATATTCTCAAGTTGGATGTGAGGGTTAGAAATGATCATTGGAGAATCAGAATATTTGGAAATCATGGTAGGCTATGCTAACTTGCTCCAAAACATAACAAAACAAAACAAAATAAAACAACTGCCATTTACTGAGTGCTTATGTGCCTGGCACTGTGATTTGCAGGCCGTTGTCCAATTTAATCTCGCACTTCCCCCCACAACCCCCAAATCACAAGGTTGGTATTATTATTAGCTCCTTTTCCTTGGTGATGAAATCAGAGCTGAAAAGGTTAAAAGCTGCGTTGGGAGCTGGAGGCAGGAAAGCCTGGAGGTAAATCCCGCTTTCCACGTGTGTCCCCACCTGCCATGTGCCTCTTGACGGGACCCATGACCCATTAAAAACAAACAGCATCCTGAGCCTCATTTTCGATGTAACATTTGTTATTTTATTGGAAAAAGCTGGTATTAACATATTTATAATTTTATTCAACAGTTGGATAGTTTGTGAGACACCCAAGAAAACAAGAATGCACCTATGAGTTACAGAGTCCAAAATGGTCAGGCCTGTCTAATCTACCACCACGTACCCGAAGCCACCGAGCAATCAGTCCTCAGAGAGTATTGAAAATGAAAACGAAAACAACCCAACAACTTCACGATGACTATGTGAACATTCGTACATTCAAAAAGAGCAGGAAATTTAAACAGGAAGGAAGCAAAGTTTGTGACTATGTTACTGGCCCTTCTGCCATGTCTAGTTTTACCTCTTCCCTTGTCAACATCATTTTTCAACACACATTTTTATTCACAATGCTTTTATTCGTTACGCTTTGGACATCATTATTTTCCAGGGATCCAAAGACATGCTTTTTCTTCTGAGAAGATCTTTTCCTTTCTTCTCCCTTTTCGGTTTGCTGTCCACAGTTTAAAACAGAGTAAGGAACCAGGAACTGTATTAAGACCTCCTTTTGAATGCAGTGTAAGCTTTGTATTTTGTAGAAATGGTCCATGTTAAATCTATGATCTGATCAGTAACCTCCATCTGCAAATGCAAATTGCCTCTCAGCATCTGAATCACAAAAGGAAATGATCGTGCCAAATATCCGAATAATTGTATAAGGCCCTCAGAGCTGGATTTTGGCTTCAGCAAGATTTCTATACAATTTATCACATTCTTGAACCTCTTTACAAAGGGAAAAAAGGAATCCAATCCTGTGATTGTTAATTTTAATTAGAATAGATATGTACATATAATACTATCCAGGTCACCTGGATTTTACAGTGATATATAAACAAACATTCTTCATTCATGTTGATTAAAAAAAAAAATCAATGGACCCATTTCCTTGTGTATTATTGTATGGCTGGAAGTGAGTGCACATGCGTTCTGTGCTTTAACACACACAAAAGTAGACCATTATCCGCTGAGAAAAATCTTGAGTTGGGTCTATTTCCTGGGTTAGGTTACATCTTGTTAAAAAAAAAAAAAGGTTCAGTCGGGCCTCTGCACTCTGCTTTCTGAATCAAAATGCAAGCAAGCCACGTGGTTCCACTGGGAGTTCCAAGGGCAAAGACAAGTTGGCCTGGTCAGCGGGTGGACCAAACCGATCCTGACAAAGCAAGAGGAAACCATCTTGGAAACGCCGCATTCTCACTGGCCGGCGAGGGGTCAGAAAAGAAAAGGTATCTTAAAATGGTCATAACATGCAATTTTCTTTTGGAGACAGTTCAGTGCATCTGGAAAAGGAGCTGGGGTCCACATCTGGGGTGGAGAGAGGGCAGAGTTCCTTATCACCAAACAGGCGAGGAGACCCGGGGAGGGGGGTCTTCTCCTTTCTGCGTCTCAGTTCTCCCCGACCTTCATCATCGTCCTACCTGCTCTGTCCTGCTTCACAAGATGGAGAGATGTTTCCAGAACCTTCCAGGCTGGAATGTTGCTTTAACATGAGCCACCAACGTGGTGGGATGGAAAGGGTCTTGTGGGAAGGCCTGGATGGAATTCCTGGCCCCTCCTTGGTTGGTGCAGGCCTGGGGCCTCAGGTTTCCCAAGTGCAGAGTGGGGAATGACAAGTTATTCACCTTTAATCCCTGGCATGGAGTCTGGCACTCAGTGTGGAGTTGGCATGTATGGAGGAAATGAATGGGCCCCCACTTCTCAGGGTCATGATGAAGATTCGGGAAGATCATGGAGGGAGCCAGGACGAGTTCCCAGGAGATGCCGAGGACGGCTGCAGAATGACAGGAGAGCGGTCACACAAGCCACAGGGGTTACACCCGCGGGCCTAGAGGGCCGGCACCACGCCTAGCACTGGGCAAATGCTCTGAGAAGGGTGGTCAAGTGGTGGAGAAAACAGGCACGCACTGTAGGTGGATTCCACTCCCTTTCCTCTCGAGAAACTCTAAGGGACCTGGGATATTTTGAAAGACATTAAAATAACCTAAAAGAGGAACTGGCAAATTCTCAGCATGAATTCACCATCCGAAATGTAAAAAGGTGAGACCCTCGGCTCTGAGACAGTGGCAACTGCTTCATTTAGCATCAAAAGAATCCCTGGCTGGCTTGTGTGAGTTTCGTTATCTGTCCCCGCAGCCCTGAACTGGGGCCAGTGAGGCGCGCGAGATACACCGCTCCGGGGCCCCAGAGGCCCCCAAGAAAGGAAACCGCTGGCGTGAAAAATGAACGCGCAGACGGAAAACATCCTAAGAAGGTGGGAAAGACTGCACGCGATTAAAGTACGGGATGCAAGAAGTGAACTTCCAGGCCGACGGTCCCGTCGGTTTACTGTGACTCCTTCTTTGTCCTGTCTTCCGACAGAAATCATCCGCGAAGCCGGTCCGGTCCTGGGATGCTTGGAGGGACCCGGCCCGGCACCGCCCCCCGGTGGCCGCTCCGGCGCGCGGCCGCCGCGGTTACCTAGTGCATATCGGAGTTCACCTTGTCCTGGAAGATGTACAGGTTGTTGGTGGCCGCGATGGCGATGATGTTCTCGGCCGGGTGCCAGGCCGTGTGCAGGATCTTCTTGGTGAAGTCCAAGCTGTCCACGCTGATGTCGTCCCGCCGCCGCTTGCCGCCCACGCACACGCGCCGCGGCTTGAGCACCGCCCGGGGCTTGCTGCTCTCCCGCGACGCCTCCAGGGTCACATCCCGCTTGGTGTTCCGGTCAAACATGCGGAAGAAGTTGTTGTAGGCTCCGGTCATGATGACGCTGGCGGGAGAAGGAGAGGCAGGCGTCAGGTGGGGCCCCGGAGGAGGAACGAAACCTGTCGCTCCTTCCCGGGGCTGCAGAGCCGTCACCCCAAGAATGGGGACCCTGTGGGAGCAGACGGGGGACAGGCCTGCCTCCTCCCACCTTCTCTGGGGGGGTCTCATATCTCCCCCCTCTTATCTCGGCTGCATCAGCACACAGACTTAGAGCCAGGAGCTGAGAGCGTTGAAGGCTCTGCGCCAAGCATCGTAAAAACATTCGCTTGTACTTTGCCCTGTATCCCAGGTGAGAGAGCCCTAGACTTTCAATGAGATTAGGCAACAGCAGGAGGGCAAAGGAAAACAAACACACGGGACACGGGCTATAAACTCAGCACCGACCAAGTGCAGGTCCCCCGAATCAGCCAGACATATCCTTCTGGTAGAAACCTAGGACCCTCCTGCAGTCTGAGTAGTTGAGGGACTAAACGATCACGCTGCACACCATCCATGTGCAGGTGTTCACAGACCTCCTCCCACCATGTCCAGCTAAAGCGTATTCTCCATTTGTCTATCCACTGCCCACCTCTTCTCCCCCACCTCTCCTAAGGAGAAGGGATTCCTGTTGAATCAGAGAAAGGATGTTAATTTACACAGTAAGAGCTGGGAGAGAAAGAATAGCAGCTACATGGATCTGGGCCTGGAGAAGGAAGGGGGTTAAGGATTTGGAGCATCTGGGGGTAGAACATATGAAGTCACTGGGGAGGTGGGAACATTCCAGAAAGTAATACTGAGGGTTCGGAAGTGATCCCCTTCAGTGTTCTTCAGGAGAGATGCGGGTCGATTGGAACCTCTCCTCCCTATTGGAGATGAACTGTGCTTCCCAATGGTGTCATTGCTCCCAGAGGAGGCACGAGGACCCCTAGGTTTACAAGGGTTATGCACACCAGCCATGGCTTCAGTATCACCCGAGCTACAGGAATGATCCCACGTGGAGGAGACGCACGAGGGCAGGGGTCCACCTGGGTGGACCAGGAGAGTGTGGGAGCTGAGGCCCTGGCCTGTAGCATCTTTATGGGAGACCTGGGGAAGCCCACCTCCCCGGGGCCCACCTGAGAACGGACAAGTTGTGATTACAAGTCACCTTGCCAAGTCTATGGTTTTTCCAGTGGTCATGTATGGATGTGAGAATTGGATGGTGAAGAAAGCTGAGCACTGAAGAATTGATGCTTTTGAACTGTGGTGTTGGAGAAGACTCTTGAGAGCCCCTGGGACTGCAAGGAGATCCAACCAGTCCATCCTAAAGGAAATCAGTCCTGGGTGTTCATTGGAAGGACTGATGCTGAAGCTGAAACTCCAATACTTTGGCCACCTGATGCGAAGAACTGACTCATTGGAAAAGATCCTGATTCTGAGAAAGATTGAAGGTGGGAGGAGAAGGGGATGACAGAGGATGAGATGGTTGGATGCCGTCACTGACTCAATGGACATGAATCTGAGTAAACTCTGGGAGTTGGTGATGGACAGGGAAGCCTGCCGTGCTGCAGTCCATGGGGTCACAAAGAGTCGGACACAACTGAGCAACTGAACTGAAGTCTTAGAGAGGCATGAAATGCCCTGCCTGGACCCCCTCCACCCCCCACCCCACACGGACAGGGGACAGACTGGGGGTGAGTGGAGCGGCTTCTCTGACACTATGTGGGGGAGCGATGGGGTGGGGTGGGGCTGGCAGTCAAATGGTTCTCCTTTTTAAGAGACTCGTCTAATCCCTGGAGGTGAAGGGAGGGTGGGTGGAGAATTCTAATGTACTTTCTGGCTCTATTCTTTTCTGTTTCAAAATCTTAATTGGTGTGAATAGATCTGAGTGTTGTTGAGACAATGAAATGACAAGTCGCTGGTGGGCGTGAGGAACCCACCCCTTCCTGGCCCGATGGCTGCCGGCTGGTTGGTGGAGAGAGTGCCCTCGGCGCTCTCCTTCCCAAAGTGGCCCCTCTTCTCTCCCCTGATGTCAGCTCACCCCAGGGAAGACTGGGTGGGCTCCTATGTCACCTAAGTTATGACCCATGAGGGTTCCCGACAGTGTGACTCCCCCAGTGTGGGACAGGGAGAGGGATGAGAAGACGCCCCCAAAGCAGAGAGGATCTGGCACCTGAAAGTCACTGAAGCCCAAGTCTGGGGCTCTGGGGCTGACCTAGGGATGCTGGGTGTGCCAGCAGCTGCCCCTTGGGGTCCAGGCATGTGACCCTTGGCCCAGTCATTGCCGAGTGTTGCTGTTCAAGTTGCTAAGTTTTTTCTGACTCTGTGACACCGTGGACTGTAGCCCAACAGGCTCCTCTGTCCTCCACTATCTCCCGCAGTTTGTTTAGATTCCTGTCCATTCCGTCGGTGATGCCATCTAACCAGCTCATTCTCTGCCGCTGGAATGCATTCATCACCGCAGTGCCTACCCCTTAACCAGCAGCTCTGCCAGCCGTGGGGCGCCTGTGTTCAGGCTGGAGGAGGGTGGGGTGAAGTCAGCAGAGGGGCCATCCTACCACCCAGCGCCCAAGCATCCCAAGGCCAGGGGATGGGGTGGGGGACACGGGGGGTGCATGGACAGGTTGGCCCTGGCCATCACAAGCAGAGTCTCAGGGGCGACCACACAGAGCTTGGGAGATGACACAGGGGACCGCTGCCCAGGTTGCACCCTCCATTGCCCCTTCTTCCTGCCTCTCAGACACAGCAGGGCTGTGAATGAGGAGAGGTGGGCAGGGGAGCGGGTGGCAGAGACCCGGGTACCCTGTGGGTATGAGGAAGCCGGGCCAGAGTCTCCATATGCAGGACCGACAGCGGGGCAGTGAGCACGGCCAGGAGGGCTTGCAGGGCTGGGGAGAGGCCTGGACCCCCACCCAGGCAGCGCCTTCTGCCAGGTGAGCAAGGTGAGTGAGGAGGAGGCAGAGGCAGGTAGGAGAGAGGGCGAGGTGGGTGAGGTACCAATGTTGTGTGTGTGTGTATATCTGTGTGTGCGTGTATGCATGTGCACCCCTGCAGAGAGAATCCTCAGGCCTAGGGGTCACCAGCCAGGATGACCTCTGACCTCCAGACCCAGGGCAGCAATCCCACCAGGCCTGTCTGGCTCAGCAGACAAGAGGGGGCCTACCCGGGACCCCGCCAGATGTCCTGTCACAGCTCCAGCTGGTGAGCACTGGGGTAGGACTCTGCAGGCTGGGTCACAGGGCTGGCCCGTGCAGCTTTCCCATCTATAAGACAAGTGAGGAGGGACCCCAGCCCCTGGTGAGAATAGCCCCAAGAATGGACTAGATAATATGCTAAAACGCTTAGAACAGTGCTGGGCTCAGTAAATTCCACCTCCTCTTACGTGTTAAATGCCAACAGGTATTTGTGGTGCTAGAGAAGACTCTTGAGAGTCCCTTGGGCAGCAAGGAGATCAAACCAGTCAATCCTAAAGGAAATCAACCCTGAATATTCATTGGAAGGACTGATGCTGAAGTCACAGAGGATGAGATGGTTGGATGGTGTCACCGATTCAAAAGACATGAGTTTGAGCAAACTCCAGGAGATAGTGAAAGACAGGGAAGCCTGGCGTGCTGCCATCCATGGGGTCACAAAGAGTTGGACATGACTTAGTGGTGGAACAATGAACAACATTTATGGATTCTAACCGTCCCTGTGGCCCGCCTGTCTGACTAGGAGCCCAAGACTATGGAAGCAGAAGGAGGGAGTGGGTGATGGATTCCCAGAGAAGGGTGCTGCTTGCCGAGGGGCTGGGCTGGGGGGGTCTCACCCTTCCCTCTGTGCCTGCAGGGGCAAGAGAAGGGAGAAGGCAGCCCCCTGGTTCTCCAGGGAGCAGTTCACAGAACCCAGTGGGTACTATCACACCACACCCACCCTTCTCCTGAGCCACCAGGGAAGGGAGAGTGAGATCATTAAAGTCACTTGCAAGCCACACCACTGCTAATCCTCCTTCCATTCAGGTGCAGGATCCAGAGGACACCCCTGGGGAGGAGGGAGATGCCCACACACCGGCAGAGGGAGGGGTCTCTTCCACCTCGGACCACCAGGTCCCAGCATCCTGCAAACCACGCCAGGGCAGACTGACCCATCGCTCCCATTCTTAGGTGTGCTCTAACACCCCCAGAAGGTTCTTTTAACAGGGAAAGGGGGAGTCCCTGCCCTGGCTTGCCTCTAAGCAAGTTGCTTCACCTCTGCCAGCCTCGTTTTCCTCGTCTGCACCTGAGGATCACAGCCTTGGCTGCCCTAGTCCTCGGCCTCTCTTCTTTCCACTGGGAAAGACTCCTGCCCCATCCCTGTGGGGCTGGAGGGTCTGTCAATCATGATGCTCTACTGCCCCCTTCTGGCCAACTGTGGCTTGCCACAGATCCTGTCCATGCTGAACGGGTGCAAAAGTGAGCATGTGACCCCAACAAAGCCAATCAGATCCTTCTCTGAGAAATTTTCCATATACCTAGAAGGGGAATTGTGGTCCGGAAGGACAAAGGAAGGGGGACTATTTGGGGTCACCATCCCTAACTGCAAGGGGGAGCCAGCCATAGTCAGGGAGGAAGAACCTAGTGTTTAAGAAGCAGGGAGGCTCTGAGATGGGCGTGGACAGAGAAGAAATGGCCCCAAAGGTACAGCGTGAGCTCTGAGATAGTCTTGCTGGAACTTATCAGAACAAACTCAGGCTTGTCTGATTCCTGCAACTGGAAGATGCTTAAAGTGTTAGTCGCTCAATCATGTCCAACTCGTGGACACTCTGTGGCCTGCAGCCTGCCAGGCTCCTCTCTCCATGGGATTCTCCAGGCAAGAATACTGGAGTATTCTTTCATTCCCTTCTCCAGGGGATCTTCCCAGCCCAGGAATCAAACCTGGGTCTCCTTCATTGCAAGGAGATTCTTTACCATCTGAGCCACCAGGGAAGCTGGGAGATGCTCAGTTGACACAAATCCCCTTTTCCCAGGCAGAAAGAATCAAGGAGAACTTCCTAGAAGAGATGGCACTTGAGGTGGGTCTTGAAGGCTCAGCGGGGTTCTTTAAGACAAGACAGACAACAGACCCATGTGCGCCAATCATTGGACCGTCCACTGCCATATAGAGCATGCATGACCTTGCCAGGAGCGTCACACACAAGGTCTCATCCTCAAAGCAGCCCTTGAAAGACGTGGTTTATTCAAACCACTTTCCATGTTAGCAGACTCAGAGAGATCAGCTTGGGAAAGATTGAAGGCAGGAGGAGAAGGAGAAAGAGGATAAAATAGTTGGATGGCATCATCAACTCAATGGATATGAGTTTGAGCAAACTCCAGGAGATAGTGAAGGACAGGGAAGCCTGGAGTGCTGCAGTCCATGGGGTCGCAAAGAGTGGGACACGACTGAGTGACTGAACAACAATTAAGCAAGTAGCTGGAGCCTGGTAGAGTGTGGTCTGGAAATCTAGGGTGTCGGATCCAAGAGCCTCCGCTCTTTCCTGTCCCCCAGGCTGCCCATTCGAGCCTTGCTGGAGTTGGGTAAGAGGCACTGTGAGTGTTAACAGATGTCCACTAGCTCTTTGCTGCCACGCATACAGTTGGGATGCTGGAAGTTTCCCATTAACATAAGAAGGACAGGAAACGCTGAGCTACAGCATTCAGAAGGTTGGCTTTGGTCTGCAAGGGTGGGGGCCCTGAAGGGCGTACTTGCTTCTCCCCTTAGCCTCTGAGCTCTTGGAAGGCAGGGATCAGGCTTTATTTATCTTGGGATCCTCCTCTATGGGCTTTCCTGGAGGCTCAGACAGTAAAGAATCTGTCTGCAATGCAGGAGACCTGGGTTCAATCCCTGGGTCGGAGAGATCCCCCGGAGAAGGGAATGGCAACCCACTCCAGTATTCTTGCCTGGAGAATTCCATGGACAAAGGAGCCTGATGGGCTACAGTCCATGGGTTGAAAAGAGTCAGATACAACAGAGTGACTAACACACACACACACACACACCCCTCCTCTATGGGGCTTGCTGGGCTCACAGGATGCTTGCGATGAAGTGGAAGTGGCACATCCCTTTGCCTTCCAGAAGGTCAACAGTCATTGACTGGACAGTCTTGAGGCTTCAAGTCAGGGGCTTAGAATGAGCTGAGCTACAGTCCCACTCCCAGGGGCACTGCAACCAGTGGGGAAGAGGCAAGGTGAAAATGTGTAATAAACGCAAAGACAAAAGGAAAACCCAGGAGGCTGCGGGTGTCGAGATGGAGAGGAACACCCTGAGGGCTTCCTGGAGGAGGTGGCCTTGGGTTGAGTCAGTCATTTGAAGTGACAGCAGGAGTGAGCCAGGTGTAATGTGGTCAGGGTTCCAGGGGGTGGGAGCAGAGTGGGTTGTGGAAGTGGGTGTTAGGGACTACCAGGGCTGGGGTGGCTGGCATGGCAGGAAGAGGTGGGTGAGAGGCAGGACAGATGAGCTGCAGGCTGGGCACAGGGAAGCCAGGAAGAGAAGGCAGCTCCGTCTCTGGAGGCCCAGCATTCACTGTTCATGGCTGCCCCCTGGTGGTGACTTGGAGGAAGGGAGGGCAATGGTCACAACCAGTAGGGAGCCCAACACGGACAGACAGACACGCACAGAGCAGTGTTGGGATCCCCTCTTTCCAGCAGTAAGTCTGTCTTCTGAGGCTCTAGGAGACCCCCAGACCTGCTGCCAGTGTTCACTGGGGGACCCTCAATGTGTCAGCCCGGCTGCAGGCCCCCAGAGGGAGCGCCGTGTCCCCCTGACCCAGCCGCATCAGTCCAGTCCCAGGCCAGGGCTTCCACCTGCTTTTCTGAGCATCCTTCAGTGGACCCCCTGTGCCCACCATCCCAGTCCCTATGAGAGCACTGTCCACGTGGAGACCCCTCAGCCAAGTGAACCCCAGGATGTTGGCAGCAGCCCAGGGGGTCCCCCACCCCCGGACACAGCATCTTGGTCCCACTTGGGGCCAGCCTGCTCCTAGGGGTGCCCTTCAGGTCTTGTCCCTGTGGTCCTGCCATTCCCCCCACCTGCCTTCCCCGATGGTCCCAGGGGACCTGTGCTCATAGCCACACAGCCTCACAGCACAGAGGTTCTCATAGGACCACGGCGATGCCAGCCACACTTAGAGCCCAGCCTTCTTATGGCCGGACGCTTGGGACTGATGGAGTCCACTGCCGGCTTGCACTCTGCCCCTCCTCACCCATCACAGCCCTGCTCCGGTTGTGAAGTGTGATGGGTGATGTGCTGGCGTCCCGGGCCAGTGTGGTTTTCATCCCCGTGTGGTCTGGGTCCCCGAGTCCTTGCCACGGACCTTCCCTGTCCTGTCCACGCTCACCCTGGGCTGAGCCGGGTGATGGGGAAACAGGAGCTCAAGTCAGGCTCAGGTCCATTTCCCGGGTGGGCAGGGCTGTGAGGGGCAGGTACACCTGTGGAAGCCCCCTAGTCCCAGAAGATGCAGCAGCTGGAAGCGCTCTCTGGAGCCCCTGTGGGCGGGAAGCTGAAGCCATAATATCTGGAGGCGGGTGTAGACCAGTGGCTAAAGCCTTCTGGCCCTCGGGGGACCTGGCACTGATATACCCCTCACCCTTGACAGCCTGGGGAAGAGGCTGTGTGGTGAGGCACCCAGAACTGTCTGAAGATGCTTCCACTACTGTTCAGGAGAACGGGGCTCCAAATGGATATAGTTTCAGAATGTGAAGTTTCATTTCCATCCTTGAACTTGAGAGTTGAGAGCTTGAGCCTGCTTACAAGAAAGGCTGGGGCTCCCTGGAACACCTTGATTCCTTTGGCTGGATAACAGGGAATTCTGGTCCCCCCAACCCCCTACACCAGATCAGCAACCGGGCCCGCAAGGCCAGGGTCCAAGGTCTGAAGTTACCTGTCACTCCCATTCCAGGCGCATTCGAACTTGTCAAAAATGCAGTCGTTCTCGTACAGGGAACAGAGTTTGCTCCGAAGGTAATCGTGGACCTGGTGAGAGGAGGGGACGATGGGGTGAGTTAAGGGGGTGCCCTGACAGTCCTGGCTCCCCCTCCATGAGGAGGGTCTCACTGAGCAGGGCTGTGCCCTCTGGGGTCTGGATGGCACTCCTGACTCAGCCCTGATCACTGGCAAGGGTCCACAGCCTGGCACACGGCCAACCCCTGCGCTGTGGCCAGACAGGGGACAGTCACAGTGATGAGGACACCACACCCCGGCTCTGCCCCTCCCTGGCTGTGTGACCCTAGACAGTAACTTCTCCTCTCTGAGGTCTGTTCCTCCTTAAAGTGATAAGAGCACACACCTCATGGGCTGTTCTGGGACCAAATGTAAGTGATGGGTATAGGGTCTTGTCTTTTGAGGACAGTGGTCGCTGTGAGCACACTGGTGGCCATCATGGAGAAAAAGAGGACATTCACACAGGTCTCTCAAGTGTGATCTCAGTAGGTGCTATCTGTCCTGTTTATAGATGAGGCACTGAAGCTCAGAGAGGTTAACTAACTGGCCTGAAGTCACACAGCTTACAAGTGGAAGACCAGGATCCTCTCCCAGGGTAACCTGACACCACAAGAGAGTTGGTGACCGGATCCCGCAAGCTCTGTACCCACGGGGCCTCCTGGGTGCCGGCTCTCTGCAGGGACATGGCCCTGGCCTCTGGGTGGGGGGAGTGCACATGTGCTGAGTCATGTCCAACTCTTGCCGACCCCATAGACTGCAGCCCGCCAGGCTCCTCTGTCCGTGGAATTTTCCAGGCAAGAATACTGGAGGGGGTTCCATTTCCTACTGCGGGGGATCTTCCGGATCCAGGGATCGAACCCATGTCTCTTGAGTCTCCTACATTGGCAGGTGGGTTCTTTTACCACTGAGTCACCTGTGTGGGGGAGGGACGGGTAAGTGGGTAACATGAAGCCTCAACTCCTGGCTCTGTGCGTCTTCATGGCCCAGGGGAGTAACTTAGCTGCCTGGAGCCTCAGGATTCCTGTCTGAAAAGGGGGTCATGAGACCCCCACCCCTGGAGAAGAGTGTGAGGATTCCAGGAGACAGAGGCAGGGCAAAGCACCAGGTAGCTATCTGTGACCCCAGTTAACCTCAGAGGGATGGAGAGAAATGTCCAACTCCTGCTAGGCAGTGACGGTGGAGGGGGGAAGAAAAAGCAGGTTTTCATCCACTTCTGTCTGGGAATCTTATTCATCTTAAAAAAACTCAGCTTTAGAGGAGGTCGCCTCCTCCAGCAGGGCTTCCCAGGTGGTGCTAGTAGTAAAGAACGCGCCCCCCCACCCCACCCCCACCAATGCAGGAGATGCTAGAGGCATGGGTTCAATCCCTGGGTCTTAGAAGATCCCCTGGAGAAGGGAATGGCTACCCACTCCAGTTATTCTTGCCCAGAGAATCGCATGGACAGAGAAGCCGGGTGGGCTACAGTCCATGGGGTTGCACAGAGTCGGACACGACTGAGCAGCTGAGCACACCGAATGCCTCCTCCAACAGCCTCCCTGGATTTCCCCAGGCTACACATCCCTCTCTGACTCTTTCCGTGGGGCACCTGAGGCTCTTGCCCTGACTTTGTGTTTTTGTTGACCCCACAGCCTGGAGGTTTCTTTCTTTTTTAGGTCTGAGAATCAATTTTAATTCTTTTTTATTTTTTCATGATTGTGATTTTGTTATTTTCAGGCAGCTTTTATTTATTTATTTTTAATTGAAGGATAATTGCTTTACAATATTGGCTTTTCCTGCCAGACTGGAAGGTTCTTAACTCAAGACTTCCTCAGGCCTTGGCCAACACGCCCCTCCCCAGGGGCAGGCAAGCTTCCCTGCCCGCCCCATCCACAAAGCTTGCTCTCCCGCCCTTCTCTTCCCAGCCGACCTGGCTCATGTTTTAAATCCTGTCCCCAGGCTGACATCACTCAGATGTTTCTCTCCAGCCAGGCCCTCTCCCCCAGAAGCCCACACTGGACTGTCTAGCAGCCTACAAGGACGGGCCAGAGACCCCTCAAGGCTGAGCACGGCTGAGCCCTGGTCGTCCTTCTATCCCGCATCCTTCCACTGGTACAAGGCTACAAATGACCACATTTTTCCTTATCTCTCATACCTACATTCAGCTTGTCCAGAATTCAAAGTGATCCAGGGCCAGTCCCTTCTCACCACATCCGTCCTACGCTGCCAGCCTGCTCCAAGCACCCCAACCCAGCTTACTGCAAAAATTCTCCTGGTAGCTCTGTGTCTGCTCTCCACACCCCCCAGCCCCCATCTATCTTAATCTGCAGCGAGGGGGATTCCTTGGAAACTAAGCTGGACCATGTCACGCCTCTACTCAAAGCCCTCCAGGGCACACAAGTCCCCCTGGTCACCTCTCTGACCTCAGGTTTTTCTTCCCTCCCATAGTTAACTCTGCTCCAGCCGGTTCCTCACCATTCCTTGCATGCACTAACCACGTTCCTGCCTCAGGGCCTTGGTACCTGCTGTTCCCGCCTCCAAACACCCTCCTTGCAGACGGCTCATCCCTTACTTCTCCTAGGCTTCAGCGCCCCTGTTTCCTCGGCCTCAGCCTCTGGTTTATTTGTCATCCTTTGGGAAGCCTGTGATTATTTCATCTGTCTGTCTGCTTGGTTTATGGCCATCTTCCCTGCTGGAATGGATGGCCCTCTGGCAAGATCTATTTGTCTCATTCCCCAACAACTTCCCAGTGGGGTGCAGAGGGCCTGGCATATCATAGGACCTCAACACAGTTTTAAAAAATAAACAACTGGTATTAAAGGCAACTGGAGATGGTGTGGCTGGTGTGGCTCCCCAGGTGGGCCACATGTCTGAAAGAAATAGCGGGGTCCCTCCCCCAGCCGTTCCCCTTTCTCCACTCTGCTTCCTCAAGAGCCCTTGGTGCCTCTCCTATGGTGTGCGTCTGTGGCCTGGGGTCTCCTGACCCATGGCCACGCCAAGCTCAGGTTCACTGTGTTCCTGTCGCCTGGGACCCTGGAGGGTGAGGCGGTGGCTCTTACCCTCCCTCTGAGCCCAGACTAAATGACTAAATGTGAGATGAATGGGATAAATGATGCCTGACCTCATTCCCGGCCACAGGTTATAAGGTGCTCATGTTCACCCCTCCAGGCTGCATGTTTAACGTGTGTGCTCCATGCAGTCAAGGCAGCCTCACTGATGCACTCGTCCAAACACACGTGCTGTCGTCTCCTGCACTGAGCGCCTCCTGCCCTCTGGTGGCAGGGTGAGGAAGGGTGTGGACTCTGGTGTAAGGAAGATGTGAGCACAGATCTAGGGTCTGTTGCTTGCTACTCTACCACCACAGATATGCCATTTAACTGTTTTCTCCAAATAAAATGGGATTGAGAGAACACCGTCCCCACCTCTCAGGGAAGCTGGGAGGCTTAGAAGAGGAAAGTGTGCCAAGGTCTTAGATCAATGCAGCACGTGCCGAGGGCTGGCTGACTCAACACCCCTTTCTCCCTGCCTTCTTCAACCACAGAGGCCATAAAACTACTAATTTTACCAGTCTGGTCATGGGCTCATCCTAGCCAATGAGTTATAACAGGTCTTCTGAGGAGTGTTCTGGGAAAGCTTTTGTGTTCCTGATAAAATATGCCACAGATCCAACCAGCACAGCCTTTCACATGTCCTATTACTTCCTGCCTGGAAGGTTGGCATAGTTCCTGGAGTTGTGGCAACCATTTTCCCACCATGAGGTGTCACTCAGGAAGGTAGAAAACCAACATGCAAATGATGGGGAACTAAATCACCAAAGTAGCTGTTGGGACACTGAATGGGTCACAAAGCCACTCACTCTTCTGGGACACCCCAGCTTCTTGTAAAGAGAGGAAAGCTCTTATCTATTCAGTACTGCAAGTCAGCCAAATACAAATCTGCAATACACAATTTCTAGTGCACAACAACTAAAAATATTAGCTACTATGTTGGTTTTATGTAGCTATTACTATTTTAGAATCAAAAGGTCAGTGGGGCCAGAAGCCGAGCAACCAGCTTTGGGCCTTGTCCTCTAGAGCACTGATTCTCCTGCTTTATTGGGTCTTCACGTGCTTTGAGAATCTGAAGGCTCTGGGCCCTCCCCCGCAAAAATGCTCATATTCAACATCTAGTTTCAGGGTCTGTGGGCCTTTGCTGACTCTAGGGACATGAAAGGCTGGTGGGGGGGGGGGTGCAGTGCTAAGCGGGTTGGAACAGTCATGTCCCTGGACAGGCTCTAGGAAGGCATCAGAACAGTCATCCCCACAGGCCTGAGCAGGGTGTATGTCATTCCTGATCCAATCTTTGACGCCTGCCACTCCTGAGGGTCAGAGGAGGAGCTGATCCATTCCTGGGTTGTGCCATGGGAGCAGGAGGCCCTGCCTGGGTCAGAACTGGGGGGAGTGGCAGGACTTCTGGTAAACACACGTGGCTAACAAAGGAGCCCTTTCATGACTCCATTGTCCTGAGGAAGCTGGGGGCGGTGGGGGGGGGGTGCACCAGGACCTTCCGAGACATCGTTGTGGGCATGGGGCTGCCAGGAGCATACATGTCCAAGATCAGACTCTGAACCCCAATCCTTCCCTCTTAGGTCTGTGCCCCTTCCCAGGGGGGCCCTCCCTCTCTCTGGACATGCTGTACCCCAGGCCTTGGCAGGACGGAGGACAGGGAAGGGGCTGTAGGGCTCCCATCTGGGCTCCGAGTCTGTCACTGCCCAGCTGTGAGGCAGCTCCCCATATCATCACCTTTCAGCACCCCAGGTTCCTTCCTGCAAAGGGGGCCCATGGCGCCCTCTTCACAGGGGCAGTAAGGAAGAGAGGTGACAAGGGTATGCGGCACCCTGTGAGCACCTAATACTTGGTGACACTGTGAGAATTTGGCTGGGTCTTCTGATGGGGTGTTTGCCCACTCTTACCTGCATGACCGATTTCTACAAGGTTCAGAACAAATGTCACCTCCTCCAAGAAGCCTCCCAGATTGCCCCAGCTGGAGACATAACTGGAGCAGCTTTAAAACAGCTTTAAAACAGTCCTGTATTCTTACCAAATTGTAACATCATATGGATTTTGTCTTCCATCCCCTCATATATGGATGAATCATGATAGAAAAATAATAAACAAGTTTCCAGGCAGGCGTTCCAGGCTTCATCCTATAAGCCTGGCTGAAAAAGCCTGCCCTGAGGATTTAGAAATGTACCAAGCTCCCATTTCACCACTGCATCACCAGCTAGGGATGCTCCCTGGGAAAGGGCAGTGCTTAGCTTGCCTTAATGGTAGGACTGCAGACACTGGCTCCAGGGAAGGAAAGCCGTCATCTGCACCCTCAAATTGAGCCCAGCGTGGGGTTCATCTTTGTCCCCTGGGGCCCAAACTGAAGGCCTAGTCACAGCCCTGCCTCCCAGCAGGAGCCAGCAAGCAGAGGACCCACAGCGCCCCCATGAGGCGAGGCTGAGCTTGCCCCTGGGCTGAGCTACCTGAGATGAGCTGCCTGATTTCTTGAGCCTCAGTGTCTTCACCTGCAAAATGGGTTGATGGAAGCCACCGATAGCTGGGAGAGCCCCTCCGTGCAAAGGCACAGGGGAGGGCTGGGGGTCCCCCACCCACAGACAGGCCCCCAGGTTTTGCGGGTCGCAGCGCCCACCTGGTAGGTCTCTATGGGCCGCGCCTCCATGTTCAGGTCCCAGACCTTGACCGTGAGGTAATCGCGCGTGAGCATGTACCGGCCGCTGTGACTGAACTTCACGTCTGACACGGAGGAAATGATTTCGGAGAAGAAGGAGCGGTTACTGGGATCCTCGGGCTCTTCAAATACTGCGGAGACAGAAACAACCAGGTCACTGGGCTGCTCCCACCTGTGAGGTTCAAACAGCAGATGGCTCCACTTCCACCCTGGGCTCATGCAGTCGTTTATTCACTCATCAAACCTATAACTAAATACCGGCAGGCACAGGCCCAAATGAATCCTCCAAGGGGGGAAGAACTAGCTCTTGGAACAATATTTATGGAGCATCTACTCTGAGCCAGATTCTGCGCTGAACTTTCCCGAACATGACCTTATCTAATCCCCCAACGCTTTGGCCACCTGATGCGAAGAACTGACTCATTGGAAAAGGTCCTGATGCTGGGAAAGACTGAAGGCAGGAGGAGAAGGGGACGACAGAGGATGAGATGGTTGGATGGCATCACCGACTCGAGGGACATGAGTTTGAGTAAACTCCAGCAGTTGGTGAAGGACAGGGAAGCCTGGCGTGCTGCAGTCCATGGGGTCGCAAAGAGTCGGACACGACTGAGCGACTGAACTGAACTGAATCCCTCAATAAAAATGTCGGGTCGGTACCATTAATATTGCCATCTTATAGCCAAAGGAACGGAGGCATGGATGGTTAAAAGCCATGCAGGAGGTCTCAGAGCTGGAAGTGGTGGAGTGGCGGTGCTCCCTTGCTGCTCTCTGCTGCCTCCTGCTGGCTATTCTGAACGCCGGGCCCGCGAGGCCTCGGGCATCCTCGAAGGCACTGGACCACACTCTGGACCAGGCGGGGCACCCTCTGCGGTTCTAACTGGCTCAGGGGCCTCTGCTCCTGGTGTGCTGGGCACATATGACCGAATCCCACTCTGAGGTGTGTTGTTCGGCTGCCATGGGGTTGCAGCAAAATCAGATCTCGCCGCCACAGGTACAACCTGTGAGTCCCGTTGGCCTCCCACCTCCCATTACTGCAGGCCCGCTGCTCCACACAGGGCGTTGCTTTCCTGGCCCCTGAAGGCTAGAGCTTCCTGCCCCTACCAGACACCCCAGAGCGGGGTCCCCAAGTCCCTGCCGCCTGACAGGTCCCTGTGCAGCGGGACGAGCTCTTCCAGGCTCACGTCTGTTGCTGGCTGTCCCACCAGTTTGCTGACCAACACCCTCACTGGCCAGTCAGACCCGGTAGTGGCCCTGGTCCTGCAGCGGGACGGACATTAGGGTCCCTGATGACCAATTAGGACCCGAGCCATGGATGGCTCTGGCTCAGGGAAGAGGATGGGGCGGTGAGTCGGCAGCCATTTACAGTCAGTCTAGAAGGACTCAAGCATTTGATGGCCTGTCCAGCTGTCCCCACAGGCACCAGCTGAGTGACTGTCCTGCCTGCTGGCCTGCTATGAGCCTCCAGGCTTCAAACAGGGAGCAGAAAGCTGATCATGTGTCCCCAGAGGCTCATTAGAGAGCCCCACCTACTGGGGACATCCTATATGCCAATTGCCCGGTCTGTCCCAGCCCCTTACACCCCATCCAAGAACCCAGTTTCTCACTTGTCCAAGGTCGACACTGCTCCTGCCTTTCCCAGAATTACAGCTCCTGCAGGGTGGCTGGGAACATTTCAAGGCCAATCTGATGGTCTCACGTGCTCATGTCTGCAGGCATGCATTCATTCTCTCAGTGAGCCAGTCCATGCAGAGCACCCACCATTGCCAGGCACTGTTTGTGGGCCTGGGATGCTGCATTGAGCAAGGCCGCCACTCTACTGGGGCCCGCATTCTCCTCCCAGAGACAGACAGTATAGCTCAGTGACATGCAATACTGTGGGGGAGTGGTGAGTGCTGGGAAGAAAGACAAAGCAAGTGAGGAGACGGGGAGAACAGGCGGCTGGTGATTTGGACAGACAGGGCCTCTATGGGAGAGAACATCTGAGCATAGATGTGAATGAAGTGAGATACCAGGGAGGAGAACTCCAGGCAGAAGTTATATCATGTGCAAAGGCCCTGAGGCAGCGATGAGCTGAAGGTCATGGAGGCTGAGAAAGGTGTGAGCCAGGAACTATAAACCAGGGGAAGGGCATCATCCTGTGGGCAATGGGAAGACACAGCAGGGCTTGGAGAAAGGGCGGGCAAGGCGAGCTGTGGGTTTCTCCAGGATTTTGCTCCCTGCAGTGGTGAGGAGGCCTGCTGATGGGTTACCTTTAGCCTCTAAAACCTCTGAATTCTGATTGGTCATCTCACAAAATTGTATTTTGTACCTGGTAATAGTAATTAAACTGACACCTTTATTTCTGCAGATATCAACATTCATAATGTTTCTTTGTTAAGCCCCAAATTAAATCAATGACATTTCCCTCTTCTCTCAGATGCCTGGAGTAAGGAAAAAAAAAATTCAATACTTGATTTCCTACTTAAACTAAAGCAGTGAGATTCTGTATTGTCTTTAATGAACAGGGATATGGACCTAATATTTGGGGGAAATGGGGCAGAGGGATTGAAAGAAGATGTACCCCAAACTCTCAGCAGGGGCCTGGGTGGCACCCTGCACTTCCCCAGGTATGTGGCAGGAATTCTTACTCAATTGAATCGGCATCTCTGCTGCTAGGGATCAGACAGTAGGTAAGATAGAAAAGCATAGAGAGTAATATTGAAACATATATATGGGCTTCCCAGGTGGTGCTAGTGGTAAAGAACCCATCTGCCAATGCAGGAGACATAAAGAGACCTGTGTTTGATCCCTGGGTCAAGAAGATCCCCTGGAGAAGGAAATGGCAACCCACTCCAGAATTCTTGCCTGGGAAATCCCTTGGACAGAGGAGCCTGGCGGGCTATGTTGCATAGGGTCTCAAAGAGTCGGACACGACTGAGGTGACTTAGCATGTACACTACCATATGTAAAATGAATAGCCACCGGAAGTTTGCTGTATGATGCAAGGAACCCAAGCCAGTGCTCTGTGACAACCTAGAGGGGTGGGATGGGGAAGGAAGTGAGAGGGAGGTTTAAGAGGGAGGACATGTGTATGTATGTCTGTGGCTCGGTCATGTTGATGTATGATAGGAATCATCACAATATTGTAAAGTAATTATCCTCCAGTTAAAAATAAAATAAAAAATTTTTAAATATATAAAAAGCATAAGGTGGGGTCTGTCTCTTGCACCCCGACTTTGTACCCCTTGCCTGCCTCAGTGGTCCCCTCTGGCCTCCACCCAAACCACTAGGTCTGGTCCAGCTCACTGCACTCTGAACCTTACAGAGCTCCCAGCACGCCTTGTGGGGGTTCGGTAGATCAACGGGGGCCAGAATCACAGAGGAGCATCTGTACTGGATGTCACAGAGCCATGGCTGTGTCTTCTGCCAGCTTTAAGGAGCAGGAAGCCACAAAGGTCAAAGGCTGAGAAGATGATCGAATCCATAGTTGGAAACAGAAGCGCCCAACAGCCATGGCAACCTCAGGTCTGGCTGTCTGTGGGCATTTCTGCAGGTTTGTTTTAAGCCCCAAAGCACCAGAACTGAGAAAGATTAGTGGGAAGGGACATGAACAAGCCTGAAAAAAGTTATGCAGAGAAGTTCTCAGCTTTCTTTTCAAACATTTCCATGACATTGTTTTGTTGCTGTTATTTTCATGTGTTTTTAAAATTCATTCTTATTGGAGTACAGTTGCTTTACAACGTTGTGTGAGTTTCTGTTGTACAACAAAGTGAATCAGCTATATGTATACACATATCCCTTCTTTTTTGGATTTCCTTCCCATTTACGTCACCACAGAGCACTGAGTTGGGCTGAAATTTTCAATACAACTATTTTTTGTTGTTGTTGTTGTTGAAAGACTGCAGAATCTTCTGTATCAATCCCCACCCCCGCCCCCCCAGACTGAACATCCCCAGGGCATTAATATGAGACAAGGGGATCTCCCTTCTGATTGACAGAATCACTATGGACATTTGCAGTAATTATTGCCACCAAGAGTTTAAAGAAGCGCATCCCAGAGCGTGGCGGGCTCCATCCCACCTTCTCTCCTCTGCCCTGATTATTTTAAACTTGGGAGGCTCTGAAACAGCAGACACCCACGCCTTATCTTTTTAGAAAAACTAATTTTGCTTAATGAAGGCGCCTGGGGCCCTAGCTGGTTCCCTGACAACCACGCCCTCCTTTCTGGGTGTCGCAGGAGGGGAAGGGGTGAGGAGCCCCCTCCCTGTCACGCTTGCCTGAGTGAATAAAGGGACCCTGGGGAGGTTCTGAAGCACCTGGGATGCAAGAAAAGGCAAGTGAAACCTGAGATGGGGGCCCGCCTCGTACACAACTCTGATGTGTCCTTCTTCTGCTTAAAGCCCTCTGTGGCTCCCAGCGCCCACAGGTCCAAGGTTCAAGCTTCCACAAGCTCCTAATCAGGCCCTGCTGCTGCAGCCTCATAAACCCAAAATCCCCTCCTGCAGCCACACGCTGACCCCCTTCCCCCCCAGGGTTCCAGGGCCTGGAATAGAGTGAGGCAAGCAGACCCCGAGGGCAGGCGCCACATTGAGCAGCTCACTCTCGGGGTCACCTGAAATGAATGTCTCCTTCCATGGTCCAACTTAGGCATCTCACTCGCCTTATCCCAGCCCTTGCCCTGCCATATACCAGGCAGCAGAGCGGAGCCAAGCTCTGTGCGACTTCAGGCAAGCCCCTTAACCTCTCTGAGCCCAAGTTTCCTCACCTGGAGGGCAATCATGGTGAGACCTCCAGAGGTAACACCTGGAAGCACCTGGCCCAGTGAGGTCCTTGAGTAGCTGCTCAATAAAAGAGTTGTTTTTCCCATTGTTTTTGCTTTTTTCTTTCCTACCTGTCTTTCCTACCAACTCCTATACATCCTTCAGAACCCCAACTCAAATATCCTGTTCTCCGTGCAGCTTGTCCAGCTGTGGGCCAAAGAAATCAAATGCTCCCCATTGTTGCCTGCACAGTCCAGGGGTACCCTCTTGTATGGCATCAGTGAGGATATCATTGAGGATAACCTGGCTACCCCGTGGGGCTGTGAGCCCTTGTCAGCCTGTGGATGGTCTTCTCTGGGCAGGGATGGAGAGGTGGGGGGTTAACTGAGCAG